TCGTCGTCGTAGAAGTAGTAGTAGTAGTAGTAGTAGTAGTAGTAGTAGTAGTCGTAGTCGTAGTCGTAGTCGTAGTTGCTGTAGTTGTTGTAGCAGTAGTAGTAGTAGTAGTAGTAGTAGTAGTAGTAGTACTAGTACTAGTAGCAGCGGTAGTAGCGGTAGTAGTAGTAGTAGTAGTAGTAGTAGTAGTAGTAGTAGTAGCGGTAGTAGTGGTAGTGGTAGTAGTAGTAGTAGTAGTAGTAGTAGTAGTAGTAGTAGCAGTAGTAGTAGTAATAGTAGTCGTCGTAGTAGTAGTAGTAGTCGTCGTCGTCGTCGTCGTCGTCGTCGTCGTAGTAGTAGTAGTAGTAGTAGGAGGAGGAGGAGGAGGAGGAAGGGGAGGACGACGAGGGGGAGGAAGATAAGGAAGAAGGAGGAGGGCGGACGGAGGAGGAAGAGGACGCGCGGCGCTCAGGCTCGGACTCGGGCTCGCTCTGCCCAGTCCAGAGAGCCGACCCCGGTGAGGAGGGGGGCGAGCGGTGCGCTGCTGGAGATCGCGGGCGGGCGGGCCCGCCCTGGGCGGCAGGGACCCCGGCAACGCCCGGAGGGCGGGGCCCCACGGCGCAGACGACGCGCGGGGCTGCAGAGCAAGCCGGGGCCCCCACAGCACAGGAGGGCTGGGGTTGAGTCGGGCGTGTCCCTCTGCAGGAGGGATGTTCAGGAATGGTAAAACAGTATAAAAAATCGTCTGGGGACTTTTTTTTGACTATTGTTCAACATTTTGGGGGTATGCTTGGAGAATGTTTTTTAATTTTTCGCCCGAAATCCCCCTGTCGGGAGACAGGCCCGACCTAAGGCTGGGGCTGAGGGGGGGGAGGGGGGGGGGGGGGGGAAACGCCAGCAGCGCTTCCTCTGCGACCGCCCGAGGTCCTGGCGCACCTCCCTCCTCCCCGAGGGGCAGGAGATCACGGTGCGAGTGATGCAGTCCCAGGGTTCGAGGATTCCCGAGAAGTCCAAGTATCCCACACGGGCTGCGGAAACGAGGGCCGCTGGAAAGTTTGGGAAAAATCCTGAACGCATCCTGATCCCAGCATGCTCACGACACCATTCCCGTCCTGTCTTCGAGACCGGCCCCCAGACGACCTGTCCAGGAGCGCGCCATCTGACCAGGACTTCCGACGGGATCGATCCAGCCTCGGCGACGAGCCCCCCCCCCCGCCCTCCGTCCCTTGGATGCAACGGCAACGAAGCAGCGACAGCCCCCCCTCTCCCCCTCGTCCCGATCCTGCGCTGCGTTCGCGTCGGCCCTTCGGCAGCCGCCCCCTTCGCTCCTCCGCTCCCTCCGAGGACGCGCTCCCCTGCCCCCCCCCCCCCCTCCCCCTCCCCCGCGTGACGCACCGCCCCCGGGTCAGGTGCAAGCCAAGAAGGAGGAGTGCACCGCGGAGCTGGCCAAGGCGGGGGATGTGTGGAGCCAGCCTCGTCGGTCGTCCGTCGTCGTCGTCGTCGGCGGTGGCGGCGCCATCCTCCTCATTCCTTTCCTCTTCCTGGTCCCCCTCCCCGTCCTCCTCCTCCTCTCCTCCTCCTCCTCCTCCTCCCTCCTCTCCTCCTCCTCCTACCCTCTCCTCCTCCTCCCCCTCCTCCTCCTACTCCTACCTCCTCCCCCCTCCTCATCCATATCATCACTCCCTCCTCCTCTCATCCTCCCCTCCTCCTCCTCATCCTCATTCATCCATCACTTCCTCCTCCTCCTCCTCCTCCTCCTCCTCCCTCCTCCTTCTCCTTATCCTCCTTCTCCTCCTCTCCTCCTCCTCCTCTCCTCCCCTCTCTCCTCCCTCCTCCTCCTCCTCCCCCCTTTGACGCCTCCGCCTCTCCTCCCCCCTTCCCTCTTCTCCCCCACCTCCCCCAGTCCCAAGCCCAGGGGCTTCGGCTGTTGGCGGTGCACGCCCCCCCCCCTCAGCAGCTGAAGCAATTGGGAAGGCGCGACGACTTCTTGTCATCGTCCTCCTCGTATTCTCCAGGGCTCGTCAGTGGGGCCTGCGTGCGTAGATGGGGTCCCCACATCGCTCAGCATCGCCGACGCATTGATCACTCGTCGGAGACGGGGTGTGAATTGGAAGGCAGTGTTTTCTGGCCCTGACGCATCTCCGATGAGTCGGCGACGCGATGCGATCTTCGGGCCCTTTCGGCCACATTCGTGGGTCATCCATGCTTCCCCGTCTCCTTCCCTTTTCTCGTCCTCCACCTCTTCGATGTTCGCCACCCCCGACTGGGTGCATCCCGATCTGTCCTTTCGGCTTGGAGGCGTTCTTCGGTCAACGAGCAGCAATGATGTATGCAAAAGGAAAAGCACTTGTCACATGCGCTTGGGAAGGGAGGGGGGTGGTACCCCTCCTTTGGCGCAAGCACGGAGGATGGGTTGGGGGGTTACGACCCCTCAGTGGGCCCCGGAAACAGCAGGGCCGTTGTTTGTTGATGGGGCTGTTTTCAAGACAGTTTCTGGAGCATGAGATCGGTTAAAGCATGTTTCCCGGACAGGGGCAAACAAGCTTTTCCGGGACTGGAACCCGAACCAGAACCAGAAAACAGGTCCGCGATGGCACCGCGAAGCAAACGGCGCCCGAACCAGCCGCAAATTGCAAAATGGAACCAGTAAAAACAAATTGCCCTGTCGCTTCCAGGGCCCACTAAGGTGATTCTTCGGTTTTCCCGTCTTTGGCTCTTCCGGCGAGCTGTTCGATGCCCACACCACGGAAGCTCCAAGCACGGAGGACTGAGAGGCTTGCGAGCAGAGCGAAAGCCCTCCAGCGTCGCGCCACGGCCACCACCGGCACCGCGAACCGCCTTATCGATTTCCACGGGTGGTACCATTCTGTCGGGCATGTCCCTCTACAGGAGGAATGTTTCCACTGTAGGTCAACTATTATACGTCTATCCTGGAACATCTTCTACATGTCTTCCAAAGCCCACATGCAGGAGGACATGCCCGACGTGAAGGTACCAGAGCAATGCCTTGCCCTCGCTGGAGAGTGCGGCTGCTCGTGTTCCAGGGGCGCCTGCAGGGGCGCGCGCCGGGCTGGACAGCCGGCTTCCCCGGAGCACACGACGCCGAGTTGTCGCAGGCCTGGTTGTTGACACCAACACCAAGATCGGCGGTGTGCCTCCACCGAGGGAAGAAGATCCCGATCTCGGTGATTGTGGTAATATTCTGGCTTCCAAGAGATGGCCGAAATATGACCACCCACACCGAAATCGAGGACCATCTTCCCCCTGTGGAGGCACCCCCCCGTGTTGGTGTTGGTGCCAATTTCCAGGCCTCCAAAGTTGACCATCCAGGGCTGCGGGTCTGCTCCGCCCTGACCTCGCCCCGCAGGCAGCGGCTCTCATGCGGCTCTCCCGCGGGGCGCGGAGGCGGCGGCGGCGGCCACGGGCGCACGCGTGGCCGAGGAGGCCCCGCCTGCACTTTGGTGGAGTCGTGGGTCGGGTCCTGTTGCCGGGGCCGCCCCCAACCAGCACCCGCCCCGCCCTGACCTGGTGGTGCCAGGCAGGAGCTTGGCATCGCTCGGACGTGTGCATTTTTCCTTCGGCCAGGACCATCGAGGAGCATCCTGGATCAGTTGGAGCAAAAACCACGCACGAAACCGAAAAATACACAGGAAATGGACGTCCGAGCGATGGCCAGGGAGTGAGGGGGTCCGCGGGTGGTCGCGAGGCACTCGCCCAGCCGGTGAGCGCGGGAAGCACGCTGGCATGTTCCTAATTACGCTCGCGGGCCATCGGGTCTCCCGCTGGCTCGGCTTCGTCCAGAGCGCCTCGCACCTCGTTGCGCCGCGGGTCTTGGCAGTCGTCCTCTGGGCGGCTCCCAGTGGCATTCCTCGTGCATCGTGTGCACCGGGCGACCGCACGGGGCGTTTCCCGGGGCACTGCTCCGTGCAGCGTGGGCTGCTCTGGGGTGGACGCGATCGATCAGTAACTTTACGCATGCTGCCCCTCCTACCGCGCTTGCTGTTCCCGGCACCTGCAGCGACCGCCCATGGAACACGAGCTGGAGGACTTCCTCTGCGTCGGCCGGTCTTCGTCGTGCTCTTGGGGCAGCCAGTCGTTGACCGTAGCGCAGAGGGGCGCTCTGCTCTGAGGGCGATCTCCGTGTACGCTCCACATATGGCACGTGCGAATGTGCGGCATGGACAAAGCGTTGCGGACTCTGCCATCGCCTTCCTCGGGTTCTAGCGAGGCCACCCGGACCAACCCGAAATCGACGGAGCTGGGTTCAAAGCTTTTCAGCTCGACGAGCCGGCAGGCAACGAGGGCTACAGCGTCGCGCGCGCGGACGACCAGGGGCTGAGTCTCACTCCTCCACATTCGCTCGCGCAGTTTGGCTTTTTGCTTGTTATCCTCCCTCTCCCCCTCCTCCTCCCTCTGCTTCTGTGGCAGTGTTCGCTGGGGCCTCCACGTTTCTCTCCTCTCGCTGCACCGTGGCGTTTCGAAACCTGCTCTTGGTCATCCATGCTGAGCCTAGTGTGTTGCCCCGCGCTCAGGTTGATATGATTATCCGGGTCTTTTATGTCATGTTGGGTTCTTCGGTCCCGATGCGGTCCAAGAGCAACTGCGATACCGCACTGGTCGCGTCCACAGTTGTTTCCTTTTCCTCTTCCTCCGCTCCCCTCCCCGTTGCCTGCCTTCCTCTTCCTGCGTTTGCTGCTGCTGTCCTCCGCGTGGTTATGTGTGTGTGTGTTTGCTGCTTCGCCGGCGTCGTCAGAGCGTGCAAGATGGGCACGTCAGGCCACAGTTCACCAGAGGATGTATTCACTACGCATGGCCACGAGGAGTGCTTGGGTCTTGCATCAAGGGAGGAAAAACCACCCGGACCGGAGAATTTGAATTAACTAAAAGGCCTTTGGCGTTTACTAAACAGCCTTGTCTTGTTCGATTCCTTCTATGGGCGCGTTTACTGAACGGCCTCGCTGGTCGGGGTGGTTATCATGGGGGTGTTTGTTTTGCCCTCTATTGCATCAGAAGACATATCTCCTTCATTCCAGAAGCCGGTGAAAATCCGCGCCCACCAGACTGACTGATGGATTGACTGTCTTCACCGGACAGCTCGGGGAACACGTTTTGAGGAACGAACGCGCAGACACAATTCATCGTCGACCCCCAGGAAAATATGGGAAAGTAGGGGCAGTGGGGAGGAAGACGAAATTCCAGAGAATATGAAAACCAATGGGGGATCCTGTTATTTGTGTGTACTTATTTGTGTGCCCTTGGGCCCCTCGATTTTGGGGCCGCCCGTGGCCGCTCGCGCCCGCAGACGCCCTGTCGTGCTCGCTGCTGGCACGCGGCGGCGACCACGACAACCACGACCACCACGACGATCACGACGACGACGACGACGATGACGACGACGACGACGACGACGGCGGCGACGGCGACGACGACGACGACGACGACGACGACGTCGACGACGATGACGACGACGACGGCGGCGACGGCGGCGACGACGACGACGTCGACGACATCGACGACGATGACGACGGCGGCGACGGCGACGGCGACGGCGGCGGCGGCGGCGGCGACGACGACGACGACGGCGGGGACGGGGGTCTTGCGACGGTGAAGGGGGGAGGCGTCGGGAGCCCCCCTTGCCCCCATACTGGGGGTGTGGGGGAAGGGGGTCTCCACTTGTGGCTCTTGATTCGAACAACAGAAGCGGCATAGACATAAATGTTGGACGGCCCGCGCGAATGTTTTGGACCTGTGCCAGCCCTCCCTCCCTGGCGCGCGGAGCGCGCCAGGGCCGGCGCCAGAGGCGCCGCCAAGGGTGTCCAGCGTAGATCCAAGAAATCCGTGCGGACCGGCGTTTCTGTTGGTTCTTTTTACGTCTTGGGCGTCCCCCAGTTCCGAGATCGCCCAGTGGGGGATCTTTTCCAAGGCAAGCGAACCCGAAATGCGTCCTCCCATGGATCTCCTCCACGGCTTGCCGCGTCGCAGAGAGCAGGTCACTGATGGTGCCCAGGAGGGGCCCAGGGTTCCGTCTGAAGCGGACTCTGGCTGAGAGCGCATCCTACCGTCAGGGCGCCGTGCCGAAGGCACGACTGGCGCTTCTATCCCGCCTGGCCCTCACGGATCCATTCGGCTTGCCACAGCTCGCATCTCAAGATGGGGACGTTGTGTGAGTTGGGGCCTCCAGCGGCCCGTTCGGACCCCAGGGCTTCAACAAAAACCATGCGGCGCGGAGAATGTTTCAACCTTCAGGGCCACGACGCGCGCGATTCCCCCTCCATTTCCCCCCCCCCCATGGCGCACCCCCTGCCCCCTCCCAGTGCGGCCCCAGCACTGCCGCAGTGCGTCCTGCACCGCAGTCTGTCACGTTGCGGGGCGGGGGCGTCATGTCGTGGCCCGTTCGCTCTCCCCCATAGCGCCCATGATCGCCGCGAGTAAAGGAATACAGTGCTGGTGTTGAGCAATATTGATGCCACTGTATTCAAATTCGTCAGGACATCGGAAGCCGGGGATAGCGACCTTTCATGGTCCATTGCTGGTACATGGGATGAGTGGCATGGTTCCACCGCTGCGCAAGGCAGTTTGAACAATGGTGGTCTTGAGTTCCGTCGCTGTCCGCTAGGTCAGCGGGCGCCCCACCAGTCTCCCAGGCGTCCGGGTATCCTCGGCTGCCGCAAAGCAGGTTGTGTTTGGCCTATTGGTTGTGGACCGCGAAGCTCTCCCCTCCCATCCCCTCATTCTTCCCGTCGGCACCGAAGCACAAAAGCCGCAGTGAGGCGCCGACCTAAAAGGAAGAGGAGGAGGAGGAGGAGGAGGAGGAAGAACAAGTTTCCCTCCCTCCCTCGCCCCTCCTTATCCTGTTCTCCTATGTCAGAGTGGGTGAGGGGGCCGAACGGTCCTGCACCGTCCTTGGGTGCGTTGCTGAAGTGGATTTCGGCGGTACGGATTCTCGACGTCGTCGAGCCCTCTTATTTCTGATAAATGATCATTGTTGCCCCCCCCGTCCAGCGCGCATGGATTTCGGGGAATTGATGTGCCCACCCCTGGGTTTGCACTCTCAGGCTCAAGCTGCGCTGTTGGTCCCCGGGCTACCGCAACAACGGTTCCCGTCTGAGACGTCCTCGCAACTTACTCGAAATCGTGTTGTCGCTCGAGATGCCCTCACACAGTACTCAGGACTCGCGCTCTCGCCCAGGGCTTCCTCGCAAGTTCCCTCAGGGGCCGCGCTCTCGACGTCCAGGAACGATCGCCCTCGCGCCAGACAGCATCACACCTTACCCGGGACCTGCACTCACCCCTGCGTCGTCTTTGCTCCGTTCGCTCCAGCGCCCCGCCAGCCCGAACCGCCCGTCAGGCTCCGCCCGTTTTGTCGCCTGCCTGGACGCCCGCCCGCCCGCCTCCGTGTCCCTCCCCGGCCCGCCCTTGGCTTGGTAGAGTCCGCCCGCCCGCCCCGGCCGCCGGGGTCCGCCCGGCCAGCCGGCCCGCGGAGGGTCCGCCCGTCCGACCTGTCTGTCTCTGGGCCTCCTACATGGGGTCGTAGTAGGTGGGATCGGAGGATCGCGTCGCATCGGCGATGCATTGGCGATGCGGCTCGACGTGGGGCCCAATTCTCTCCACGCCGACGTCGCCGATGCATCGCCGACGTCGCCAGTGCATGGCCGATGCATCGCCGATGCGGCGAGATCCCCCGACCCCATCTACTCGGACCCCATTCGGGGGGCCTCTACTGTCGGGGACCAGCCGCTCGCGTGTCCAGATGCTCGCCTGCCCCTTTCTGAGGCCCCGCCCGCCAGACACGCCAGCTACACTTTTTTGGGGTCTGCGGGTCGAGAGCGAGCCTCTTCCGGTTCAGAGCCAGGCGGGCCGCGCAGAGCACTAATTGGGGAGACAGGGCGCGGGCGGGCGGGGCCTCGGGCGGCCGGAGGGCGCGGGGTGCGGGCGGTGCTGAAGAGCTTGCACAGGAAAAGGCACACAACACGCCAGTTACACCCCCCCTCGGAATCAAGCGCAAGTCCTTCCCGCGACGTGGCGGCGCCCCAGGACCTCACAATTTCCGTGTTCGCGCCAGAGTTGGCGACTGCAAACACACACATACACACACACACACACATCGGACCCCGTGGGCCGCGTTTCTCGCGTCGACCACCATAAAACGCTTGCGTTTGATTTCGAGGGGGGGTGTAGGGTCCTCCCGCCCGACCCACCCGTTAAGGCCTGCACGCACGCCAGCGTTCGCATGCAAACATTGTTTGGTCATCTCTCCACCCCTCTCTTGCTAGACTTTCTTTTCGCCCTCAATCCTTCTCCCTCTTGCGCCCCTCCCTGTTCGTTTTCTACTCCTTTCCTGGCTGCTTCCCTGTTCCTTTTCCCTCCAGTACCCTCCAAGGGGGTACGATCGAAGACGAAGAGGGCAAGTGTCGAGGCCTTGGGGGTGTACACGTTGAGTGACACGCGAGCAACGTAGAGTGAAAAATCATAAATGAACCTGGCGCGACCCCAATAAGGGGAAAGCTTCCTATTGCATCTTGGCATTGCTTGGCATTGCTTGGCAGTGCTTGACATTCCTTGGCAAATTTTAACATTTCTTGGCATTGCTTGGCACTGTCTCGCATTGCTTCGCATTGCTTCGCACTGCTTCGCATTGCTTGGCATTGCTTTCCATTGCTTGGCATTCCTTGGCATTGCTTGGCATTGTTTGGCATTGCTTGGCATTCCTTGGCAGTCCTTGGCATTGCTTGGCATTGCTTAGCATTGCTTGAAACGGGCACAGTAAGAATACGAGGCACCAGGTGCGGGGAACCCAGGGGGGAACCTGAGGAACCTAGGGAATCCGAGAAACCTGGGGAGCCCGAGGAACCTCCAGGCAACTGGCAACGTAACAAACAATATGAGGCACTGGGGGCGGGGAATCCGAGGAACCCGAGGAACCTCAGGGCAACGGGCAAAGTAACATCAGGAGGCACCAACCTTGAACCAAGTAAGAACCCTTCAGGCAAGCCTGGTTAGGAACCTGGGAGGCACCGGGGGCGGCGAACCCGAGGAACCCGAGGAACCTCCGAGCAACGGGCAAAGTAACATTACGAGGTGCCAGCCTTCAGCGAAGCAAAATTCCCTCAGGCAAGCATAATTGGGGAAAAGGACTATTGACATTGTTTTTGTGGTCATTCGTTGTCCTCGCCCACGACCCGCCCGCGACCCACCCGCGACCCACCCGCGACCGGCCCGCGACTGGCCCGAGACACTTCTGCGACCAACCGTCGACCTACCCCCCGACCCGATCGCGACCCACCTTCGACCCACCCACATTGTTTTGAACGGCGCTTTCGGCGGACTCTTTGTGCGGACCACCGCACTTTTAGCCGCAACTGCGGGAGCTATGGTAACCTGCATCATCCTGCTCTTGGGCTTTTTCAGTGTCACAACTTCTAGACCCCGCCCCATCGAGCGCCTGACAGGCGCTGCCGCTGGTCGAGGAGGCGAAGGAGGCGCTGGAGGTCTTGGACAAGAAAGAATTCCAGGACGGTCTTGGATCCTCCTGGAATCAGCGCTGGAGTGCCTGAGAGTATCGGATGCGTTGATGTTTCGCCAAGTGTGGTGGCCGGGGGAGGGTGCCGACTTTCTACGCGCATGTGACTTTGGCGCTTCACACAATGAAGATCACAGTGTTTTGCCTCTTGGGGCCCTCGTGGGGGTCCTGTTGGATCGCTCTCGGAGCTTCTTTGGGGCCTCTTAGGCTGTTTGGAGGCATCTTGGGCCATCTTGGCGGCCTTCTGTGCTTCCCAGGTCCGTCTTGGAAGCCATCTTTGGGGATTTGGGACGCCTTGGAGGCCGCCAGGGACGCGTCTGGGCGTCGACAGGGCCTCTGGAAGAGGGGGCCACGCACGCAACTTTACGCGGCCCGGGAGGGGGGGCGCCCCGTAAAAGATTACAGAAATCGGGGGCGGAAAAGAGGGGGGTGATGACTAGGGGGGGTGGATATCATGGCGTGGGCCATGATATTTTCCCAGATTTCATGGCGCCTCTTCTTGTTTCATTACGTCCCTGGCCCCCCCGCTGGGCCGCGCACATGCCGCTGGTCATGATTTGCACCGCCCCCTCTTGGACACCCCCCTCTTGGCCGCCCCCGAAGAAGCCGTACCAGACAGCACCTGGCATTCTGGCACGCCTCCGCGTGCCCGGGGGGGCACGGTGGCAGCATGGTGTCCTCTCGGTGTGCCCTCGCCTTGGTGCGCCGAGGGTTTGGGAAACATGTCCATGGGCCAGCGCCTGCTCTCGCCGGGCTGCTCTTCTCGCGCGTGCATGGTGCCACGATGTGTGCATCAGCTCTGCGCTGCCTGACATGTACTCTTCTGCCACGCGCACAGGGGGGTGGGGGGAGGGGGGGAGGGCTCCTTAGAAGCACCCCTGCTTCTTAGAAGGCGCGGGCCCTATCTATAGATGTGAGGCCGGCGCCTTCCAGGAAGCATCCTCCTTCTAAGACGCCCTCCCCCCTCCCTCCACCCCCTTCTGCGCACCGCCAAACTTTCATGGGGTCAAGTTCCATCGTTAGTGTCCCAATGTTCCCGACCCGTTAGCCAAGGAGCTCAAGAACTTCAAGAACCCACCACGGGGTGTGGACACGGTGTCCTTCTGCGTGATGCACCTAATGGCCGGCATCGATCCGAACATTGATGTCGACAAGAAGGGCAAGATTAAGGAGGTGTCTTGGAAGGCCGCTTGCATACTAGATTGTTGCGATCATGCTTTGAAGGTTGTTCGCTAAGCACTGGGAGCAATTTTAATTTTGCTCCTTCATGGCGTCTGCCTGCTGTTTCACCGGGCAGGCTATGACAGCTCATAGCATGCGCAACCTTTGTTGTGCGAGTAGTTGGGGTGCAAGGATGCGCGCTCCGAATGTTTTCAATACCATAATGTCTGGCGATGTGCATCAAGCCAGGCGGTAAGCGTCTGAGTATTGTGGTGATGCGCCCCCACGGCCAGTCTTTGCTGGAATGGGCCACTGCCTATGCACTTGCTGATGACGCCCGGACACGCCAAGAGGCGCACGCCGTGCAAGACACGAAACACGGAGCTGCATTTGCCCTGTGCTGTGTTGCACTCGCGGCAGCTGGCGCCTCCCCAAACGCACACGTTTTACCAAGGGAGTCCCCCCCCGAAAGACGACGACTGCGTCCTCCTGGCCAAGGGGATGTGCTGGCTCTGGCGGCTCCTCGTGCACTTGTCCGGTGCACTGCCATGCAGCTGGATACGCATGACATGGCTTCTTGGGGGAGAGTTGGAAGCACATGCCGCCGGATGATCCGTCCATCGCTTGTCCCTCACGTGTCCGAGTACGTTTGCAGATCGAATGTGCCTGCAGGTAGTCCCCACACGCTCCGCATGTGGATCCAGAAGCGTGAATCTCAAACTTCTTCTCGATACGATTACCCTGGCACTCGCTTGTCGTTTGGTCGGCTGATTACCTGGTCCACCAGACGCGTCGCGTGTTGTCGGGAAGCTGGTGCATGGCACAAGGGATGCCCGAGAGCGAGGGGGGCGTGGTAGATGCAGAGGATGGTCGGGCATCTTTGGCTGCCCCCCCCCCCCCAGAAAACGAGGGTGAATAGTGCGGGAGGAGGAGGGTGATGAGGAGACAGAGAAGAACGATGAGGATGTTGAGGCGGAGGAGAAGGAGCAGGAGCGCGGCTGATTTCGAGAGGGAGGAGGAGGAGGAGGAGGAGGAGGAGGAGGAGGAGGAGGACCAGGGCTTGGGTCATCAGGGCGTGTGGAGAGGGCGCCGAGCGGCGGGAGCGGCACGCCGCCCCCCGCTCGAAGTCGGTCCAGAAGATGCTCATCGATCCTACGAAGTTCCTGGCGAACCTGAAGGGCTTCCAGGTCCACATCGACAACATGGCAGTGCCGCCGTCCAACGTGGACGAGGCGCGGAGGCTCAAGGACGGCCTGGGGGACGAGTTCTCCGTGGAGGCGGCCTCGCCTGCTGCTCGGGAGGAAGGGAGCCCTCCTCCGCCTGTCCTGCCATCCCTCGCTTCCCCTGCTCCTCCCCTCCTCTCCTGCCCCTCCTGCTCCCCCCCCCCTTCTGGTCTGTTTGCATGGCTCGCCCGGCATCCCCGAGCACGGCTATGCCCGTCCGGCGATGGGGCTCGCTTCGATTACGCCGGCTCGGTTGTGCGGACAGCTCGTGCGATCTGCGGTCACGGGCAGCTGCTGGTAAGCTATTGAGCAGATCGTTTTCTCCCTGTCGTCTTGCTCAGCACATGGCCCTCGGACTCGGGGCTCCCGTAACATTTGAAGCTCCTAGTCGTACTTTCATAACCGGCGCGGACATCATCTGTCTTCACTGCTGTTCGCATCTAGTCGCCTACAGCCCACCCCGCCACCATGCCGCATGCCTTGGGCACTCCCGGGCGATATCTGGGAAACCTCCTTGGGGAGCTCGGAGTTATCTTGAGTGGAGTGGGTCTTGGGCACCAAGACGCACTTGTGGTCGACATTGCTGGCAGCATGCGTTTCAACAGCTGTGTGTCTCAGAGGGCCACGCGGCAACTCTGGAAATGTCCGAAGTCGGGGTGTCCAAGCCCGCCCTCATGGGTCCTACAATCCTCCAGCTCTCAGCATGCACGCCTGTGTCAGCCTTGCGGCACCCTACAACATGGTCGAGGCATTGTGAACGCCCCTCGCCTCCGCTGTGACAGCAACTCCGAGCGGCGCGTCCCACTCGACCTGTCAGAACGTACAGCCTGCAGCTTCCCGCCAGGCTGAATGGGGCTGCTGGACTTTCAGAAAACTCAATGGCGCCCAGCTCCTTTCGTCCGAACATGGTTTGTGACCGAAAAACATCAGTGACCAACCGGAAAACGTGCCCTTGGCATCGCTCGGACGTGTGCATTTTTCCTTCGGCGAGCACCATCGAGGAGCATCCTTGATCATTTGGCGAAAAAGCCGCGCACAGAACGAAAAAGAGCACAAGGAGTGGACGCCCGAGCGATGCCCAGTGCCCGAACCCGTGACTGTAAGCATACTGTGACCGAAGTTGTGATCGAAATTGGAAGCCGTACAGTCGGGGCGCTGAATAAGGAACCCTGTTCGCTGAGGAGGGGCTCGGTGTTCCTTGATTGTTTCAAAGTTTGCCTCGGGTTTTCCTGAGGCTTTCCATGGGAAAGCGAGGTTCAACTTTTAGGAAAACAAGGGCCTCGTTCCTTATTTAGGGTTCCTTAGGTCAACGCCTCGACTGTACTGATTTTGAACCCGAGAGCTTGGTCACACTCCTGCCGCGCCCGGGAACTCTCGGGCACACCGGGTTGCGGTTCCGCTCGGGCTGACCCTTGGGCCCCTCTTCTCAGCCCTGGCGCCCCCCCTGCAAGAGGCGAGGCTGCGTGAGAGGAGGCAGCTTCCTGCCCGCCTGCCCGCCCTGCACTACTGTCGGGCCCGACGAGCTGGCAGAGCAGGGAAAGGGCGGGGGAGGTACGAAATGTGCTGCATGCAGCTGGCTTCCGCCCCGCCGCCGGGCCCATTCCTCGATGCATGGTTCGGGAGCCTTGGGACGGGGGTCAGTGCAAACGGGGGTCAGCCAGAGCGCCGGAGCCTGCAGGACCCTGCGAAGACCCCCTCTGGCTGACCCGGGTTAGCGAGCCGCTCGTGGCCGCGAGGCGGCCGCGCGTGTTGGCTGACCCGGGTTTGCGAAGACCTGCGCTGCAGGTTTTTTTCCTGCACTTCAGTTTTTGGTTTCGGAGGGCACCAACTATACACCAACACCGATCCTGGCCCAGGATCACCCTGGGCCCAGGATCGGTGTATATGCCTTCTTGCGCAAGGCAGGAGGGCGTCTACACCGATCCTGGGCCCAGGGTGATCCTGGCCAGGATCGGTGTTGGTGTATAGTTGGTGCCTTCCTATGGTTTCCTGCTGACCCGGGTCTGGATTGACCGTAGGTCAGAAGGTCCCCCCGAAGGGTCGCCTCCGGGGTCGGAGATCCGGGCGAGAATTGCTTGGAGCGGCGCCGGGGCCCCCCGAAGGCGGTCCGCAAGGCCGAGGGCCCGCGTTGCTTAGGTGATTCGGTGTGGGGCCCCTACCGTCGGGCTCCTTTTCTGGGCGTCCGTTGTCCTCATCCTTAACTCTGGACGCCCGAAATGGGTGCTGAAAGAAGGGGTGCAATGCCCAACAACAATTCCTGTTCATTCTGAACCGGATTCGCTGTCCGCGCCGCCGCGGCCTGCGTCCTTTCGAGACAGAAGGTCGCCTGCCCAACAGCGGCCGCTGTTGGCTTGGGACAACATTTGTTGTTGGGCATAGTGCCCATTCTTTCCGTACCCATTTCGGGCGTCCAAATTAACGCTCCTGAGCGAACATTCCTCCACGTTCGAGATACCGCGGTCGTCGCGTGACCTGGTTCTCACCCTGCCCTGTGCTATCCCCCCCGTTTGCCCGCCCTGCGGGCAGGATTCGTATCCATACCCGGTGCGTCGTGGACATTCCTGGAAGGGGCGCCACGAGGCCGAGGCGCACATGATGTGGATAAGCATCGCGCCTCTAGGGGGCAACTTGATCCATCTCCAGCGCGCCTCGGGCTTCTGGGGAAGGGAGCCCGACACTCCACCCTGCAGCGGATGTGCACAGAAGTCCTGCCCGCACGCCCTGCCCTTGGCCCGGCAGCCAGGCTCCGGGAGCGCCCCGACGGGAGCCCCCCACCATGGGCTAAGTCGGGCCTGTCCCCGTACGGGAGGAATCTTGCTCGCCGGCGCCTGCAGGCACGGCCGCCACTCGCACGGGTGCGCGCGGTCGCCCGCGGGGGGGGGGCGGGGGGGTCGTGCAGTCGGGCCTCGGCGGCGGGGCCGAGCTCAAAGGGCCCTCGGCCCCTGCGGGGCGCTGCAGAGCGCCCCCCACTCCGCCACCGGTGCGGGCTGGGCACCGCCCTGGGCTCGAGGCTGGGTGGCGCTGCGTCCTTGTTCGGCCTCCCGAGGGGCGCCACGACGCTCTGCCACTTCCGCCACCAGACGAACCCCCTTGAGGCCGAGGAGCGAAGTCTGATGCAGGGGCGCGCCCCCAGGCTGTGATGATGCAGTGCCTCTCCAGACCTGCGAGCCGCTGCCCCTGGCCCAGCCCGGAGGAATATTCATTGGCATTTCTGAGCATTCCGCGGTTATGTTTTGACCATGTTTAATCTTTCTTCCAAAATCCGCCTGTGGGAGGACACGCCCGACCTCACCCTGGGGGTAAGTCGGGTCTGTCCCCCTACAGGGGGATTTTCGACGAAAAATAAAACACCCAAATTCATCAAAAAATCCAAACATAGTCTGGGGACTATGTTTTGAATATGTTTTGACCTTTTTAGGGTATTTTTGCGGTATGGTGTATTTTTCAGTATTTGTTGACCTTGCGTATTTTTTTGAGTATTTGTTGAGTATGGTATTTTTGGGGTCTTGTTTGAGTATGGTTTACCTTTCTTCATTGAGAATTG